ACATTAGTTTGAGTTGCGGTAGTTTTATTGAAAAATCTTTTACTGGAAAGCAAGAGAGTGAGAGAGAAACAGAGAGTGAGAGAGGTAAAATGACTCCGCATTTTCTTTGTTTCTTTGTTGACTCACACCCTCCATTCACACGCGTACACACACACACACACACACACACACACACACACACACACACACACACACACACACAAACAACAACCAGTTCCTTTCAGCGACATCACAGCATGAGTCCAGCGGAACAGAGCTTTCCAGAACCATCAGATGACACACAGGCATGTGGTCTCTGTCGGTGAATGGTGCTTTCCACAAATAGGGCACAAAACAGGGTCTCTTAAAAAGTGTATTTTTTCGGTGTACTAAAAGTGTACTATTTCTTAACACACTTAAGTACACTACTGGTTCTATTTTCACAAGTAAGGTGTACTGTACATTTAAAAAAGTTGTATTACAAAAATCCAATCTGATCACACTTGTTACACAGCTAGTCATTTTTTCAAAACCTGATCTAATTTCATTCAGTTATACACATTTTCAGTCCACATAATCATCGTTTCAAACACAATATTATTGTAATATGTAATGAGAACATTTGGTTTAATCAAATATACAACAGTATGATCTTCTTTCAATTTAGTACTTTTAACAACCAATTCATTTAATAGCAAACACTGCAAGATACAAGTTTCAAATCACCCTTGTTGCTAAAATAATTACAGTACAGGCCACAGATACCACATTAGAAAATACACTTACATTATCTAATTTATGTAATTGAATCCATATTGTTTGTATTAGTATATATCCAGTGTGTTATCAAAAGGTGTGATGAAGTATGACACAGCCATGAGGTTTTAGGTAGAACAGAGTTTGCTGCCAATACAGTAAATGTTCTCACTGTACCATATGACTGAATCTATACTGTAGTTATAAGAGTGAGTTCCAGTAATATGGAAGTCTCTAGTCAAGTCAAGTCAAGTCATCTTAATTTATATAGCGCTTTTAACAATGGAGATTGTTTCAAAGCAGCTTTACAGAGATAAACATACACTGTAAAAAATAAAATGCCATTTTTACGGTAAAATACCGGCAGCTGTGGTTGCCAGAACTTTACCGTCAAAAATATGGTACATATGTTATTGGTTTTACAGACTTAACTTAAAATTTACAGCAATAAACCGTAATTCATTATCTGATATAATGTTAATTTTCCAACCTATTTATGTATTAATATCTGTTTTGTACCATTGTAATACAATGACAACCAACAATCATCACAACAGTGATGAAAGTCACATGATAAATCAAAGCTCATCACAAGCAGCTCTTCCACGATAAAGTTAGTACAGTGTCATTCGCAAAAACACTAAACAGCATCATGGTAACACATGAAATTTTAAAAATGCAATTAAATGTAACATAAAACTCTAATGTACATAACTGATAAGAAAAGAACTAAGAAAACTAAGAAGAAACATAGTTATTTCAACAAAAATACATCAAATGTGAAGTGTCACGCAGGGAATTGTGGGAATGTCTATTTATAATTTACAGTTTTTTACTGTAAATTATACAATGAGTTGTTCTTTTTCACTTTCAAAAACGGTAAATTTAACGGTATTTTACAGTAAAATTACATTAAATGTACCGTTAGATCTATCACAGTTATTTACCGTATAATCAAATTAGTAAGGAAACTTTCTGTTAACCAATTAACAGTTTTTCACTGTAGCATTTTTACAGTGTACAATTTACGGTAACAGAGATTGTTTTGGCTTTATAGCGATTTTTGAATAATGTTATTTATTTCCAGCTAAAGTTAATTTTGATTGATTCACTTCCAGCAAAATTATCATTTGTTATTACATTAGGGGCCACTAAGACGACGACGTTCTCTCTAAACAGACTTTAAACGCGAACCTGTGACCTGATGGCGTTCACATGCGTTCACATGCGCATTAAAAATTTATTCTATAGTTATATTCGTTTGAATATATGTGCGCAGGTTTGTAATTTCCCTACAAACCATGCCTAAACAAACTACTTGTCTTGCCTATACATTTGATAAAGAATTTTGTTTTATTTTATCACTTCGGGGTACGCGAACCGGATTTTCAACAATGCTTTATCTGTAGAGTGGGAAAGGGATCCTCCATCGGGAGAGGATAGTTGACACTTCAGCACTGCATTGTCATCGGGTCCAGGCGAATCTCCTTCGTCAGATCTGGATACGGCCTGGATCCAGCAGGCTGCGGGAAAACCTCAGGATAAACAAAGACACTAAAGTTAGAGTAGATGCCATTCTTCTTATGATGTAACGAGTACATCAGGATTTAAGGGAAATGTTCCCAGTTCTCTATATGGTAATCTGTTTACAATATCACATGGCATACAGTAATGTAAAATGCTGTATTTGATGCCATCTGTCTCCCTTCTTCTGATGCATCTTTGATTAATCTGATGTTACAAAGTCATTGACTGTTTCCTCTCCCTTGTTCACAAATTGCAAATCTCTCTCTCTCTCTCTCTCTCTCTCTCACACACACACACACACACACACACACACACACACACACACACACACACACACACACACACGCACGTACTTTGAACAGAGTGGTTATAATCTAAGATAAATCGCTTTTAATGTAAAAATAATTCATTACATTTTGGTTATCCATATCAGAAAACTATGTCTATATAATCAATATCAATAGAAATCTATAAGGGTATACACAATGATTCATTGATTAACTTTATGAAAGACAAGTTACTGTGAATGAAGATGAAACACTTTTTGATTGTGTGTTTTTTTACTAAAGCACACTTTTGATGATCTGTTTTGATATTAGTACTTTGAGTTTTGAAAATGTTAATGTTAATATGTCATTTAAGATCAAGACCTCAGCTGAGATGTAACAGCCTAAAATTCTCATTATAAGGGGAAATGCCGATTTTCATGTGAAATTAAGTGACCTACTTTTCATGATGGGTTAGATTTATGTTACATAATAAGCATATCTAATATAACCATGGGATTTGCGCGTTTAAAGGGATAGTTCACCCAAAAATGAAAATGTTGTCATCACCCCTCCCCCCTCCTATGGAAGTCAATGGGTGCAGTCAACTGTCTGGTTACTGACTTTTTAAAAAATATCTTCTTTAAAACTCCTACAGGTTTGGAACAACATGAGGGTGAGTATAAGGACAACATTTTTATTTAAAATTTTTTGGGTGAACTATCCCTTTAATCCCTTAATGGGACCCATTTGTGTAAAGTGCCTAACAAATTAAAAAGATAAAAAAAAAACTTGATTTTCTTCTCCAGTTTCCCTCCTCCCTCTCTGCTTTCTCTTTGTCTCTGTGTTTCCTCAGGATGTTTTTAGAAGTTCTTCTATGAGTCTCTTTCTTCTCGGTTTCGTGAACGAGTCGGTCTTGTGACAGCGAGAAATAAGTTCCCCATGAGAGCGTTTCCTAGGGTACGAATATGCTGTATGTCAGGTTTATGGAAGTCAGGGTCTTGCTCTCATTGGCATGAATGTGTTTTTCTGTCTATGCACTTGAATTTTTGCATGTTCAGGACAAACTGAGCATGCACACATGCATATATGCATATATGCCTGAGGCTATGATAAATAATGAATATTATTATGTGGTTAACATATGTCAAAGCAACTATTGTGCATATGAGGATCAGACCTCATACAGAAATATCCTCTGTGCATCAGATGCAGAGCAGAATCTGGTTGGCTTTTCACTCCACGGCAGCTGCACGTGTGTGATGTAAGTGAAAGCAAACTGGGTCATGGCAGCGTGGCGGAATGCCACCGTCAGCACATCGACTAAATCCTCTTCTGCACTTACAAATCCCTTTAAAAAAGCAAATTAAAAGCTAACTTTGTGTTACTACACTAATAACAATGAACTTCATTCTCAAAAGCAGGAATTTGCATTTTAATATGTAGGCTACGAATGAAATTTCCATAAAACTGCCTCCTGCTGAAATATGCAAATAGGACTGATGCACTGCACTGTGATTAATTGGCTGAGGTCTCTCTGTCAGGTAAATTCATATATATTTTTATTGTCAAGACAAAAGTTAATTCTGTATATTGCCAAAGCATTATAACAAAATAGAAAATAGCTTATAACAACTGAAATAGGATTTTTTTTTTAAAAAAAACATTAATAAAGACATGCAATCATGTTCTTTATTAAACTTCAATGCTTCAATGCTTTACTCTGTTCTCTTTAGATTTGCAGTGTATTCAATTTTCATGAATGTAGGCTAAAGTCGATATTTGGATGTGTATTTTGTGGTAGACTTACAGTCTCGAGAGAGCTGTAGGCTACAGTTTAATCACGTCCATATAACATCGCAAGATCAAGAGCTGTTTACATGTGGTGAAAAAATCAATAAACAAACAAGCATGATCTGAAACGATAATTAAACAGACATATATACTATACGGATAGATAGATAGATGGGTGGATGGAAGGATGGATCATAGATAGATGGATAGATGGATAGATGGATGGATGGATCTAGATGGATGGATGGATGGATAGATAAATTTCACGGTTACAATCGCACATGTCTTTTGTTGACATTGTGCGCCAATAAATGTACTACCCCTTGTGGGCAGATGCAGTACTGCAGGGCGCAGAACATTCCATTCTCCTCCCAAATGTAAAACACTGGAATTCTCTTTTAATTAGTTTAACAATTGTTGTCATATTATAGTGTAATTTATTTTATTTTAAATATCGGCAAGGTGGCTCTTGTCAGCGGATTTATTGCAGCGAGAGACAAAGCGAGCATGACGATGTGGGATTGTGTGGAATAAAAAGGAGGAGGGATTATCTGACCGGATAGCAAAGTGACATCAGGCCCGAAAAATGTGTGTGTGTGTTTGAGGCTTCAGATTCAGACAGTGTGACTGGTAAAGAGAGTGAGGGAAGGAGGAGGGGGTTATAGGGAGAAAAAGGCGTTTCCATTCTCAACCGGCGAGACGGTAAGAAACGCGCGAGCACGATCGAGTGAACGGACGCTTAAAGTTTCCGTGGCGTCTTCGTTTATTACCACACTAACTTCATCATATTCGCACTCTAGTTTTGATGCTTTTCGCTGATGTTTTGACTGAACTGTGTTTGTAGTAAACTGGACTTTGTATTTGGGTGGCCAAAGCGCACAGCGGATCTCATCCATCACCACACCGAGATCATCACCATCACCATCGCTGGATCCCCGCGCCCGGAGTAAGTCACTCATCTATTTGCCAAAACATTCTATGGTAGCATGACATTCTTTGAAGTACCTATATTGAAGCACATCCCTTGGGCATCATTCAAATAGCGGTCGAGGGCGCACAATCCGCCACGCAACCAGACCGCTTTCATGGGCTCGATCCGCTCCGGCTGATTCATCGGCGGAATATGTGCGTCTTTTAATAATTTAATTACAGTTGTGTCGATGAAACAGATTCCGAAATCCTTCCTATTGTTTTAGAATAATGACTCAATTCCTGATTTTTAACTAAACGTCGCTTGGTTGTTCAGATTGTCATGTTGAGAAATCATATTTCTTTTTTTTTTATTCAGTCATGGGGTTGCATAATGTAGCCTATAAGTGATAACAATTTCGGGAATTAATTGAAATTCCTGTAGATTGTCTGCTGTAACCGTACTGTACCACCGTACCTTTATTATTTTCACTAACAAAATCTGGCAGTCATTGAACACTTTTGGTTTTTATTAGCTTAAGGAGCTCAGTAAAACTGCTGTGGAAGCAGTCTGGACTAACTCATAATGCAACCTCAGTCATGACAGAAACTCTCTTCCTCTTGGAGTCTAGTGCTTCCCTTTTCCTTTCACAGCCCGTTTTTTAATCTTGCTTGAACAAAGTTAAACCAGATCCAAGTGTGCAAGTGCATGACCAGATGCATTATCTGGCAGTCACACAGGTGTGTGCGTTTCCTGCACCTGGAGAATGGTTTCTGCTCTCCTATCTCATATATTGATTTGTGTTTTGCCTGTGGTAAGGGAAGGAGGCAGCTCAGCAGAAATACACTTCCCTCATTGTCCTTGTGTGTGTGTGTGTGTATAGAGCTTTTCAGGCTGGGATTGTTTGCTGGCCAAAGATGCTGTAAACCTTGTTTAACAGAAACTTTAGATCAACAACAAGCCAAACCCCAGCTATAGTGTTTTCTTCCGGTCCTGGCAGTCTTCAGTCTTTCTTTCCCCCCCCAACAGACTCATGAAATTACAGGCAAAGCAGAAAAATGGCAGATAATCTAAAGCATCTGATGTGTATGGAAGCTTATGGCAATGTATTTCTATATTTAAATTGACATTTTCCATAGCAAATGTGCAATGTTTGGAGAAAAATGCTAGCGTTCAAAATCAGTAATATAATTTCCATTTTCTACACTAGTTTTAATATATAATTTAAATGTAGCCTATGTTTTAACGTTGCAAAGGTGCCAAATTAAAATGAAATCACTGACGGACACGCATAATCTTCAGGAACATTGACATTTCTCTGTTCATCTGCCAGTAAATGTATCGCTGCCACCATGTTTCCAAACACCTGGCCCTGCCTTGATGCAATGATTGACATGTGATTGGCTCAGATTGCATATTCAATTCCACATAGAATTTTAGCTACATTCATTGCGGGACATATAATGATAATGCAATCGCAAGTATGATAACTGTGAGTGTATATGCAATTAAGAAAAATAACATTTAAATGATTTTGCTACAATGTACAATTTTGCTTGCACATGTTAAACTTATCTAATCATTTCTGTAATACATTTTAATTTTGCAACTTATAAAACGTTAAAGCTCCAGTCCATAACATTTTTGGGTTAAAAATGATCCAAAATAAATTTTTGAGCAAGTACATAACTAGCCAGTGTTCAGAACTATCTGCTTGCCTTAGCTCGATTCCAAGCGGTAAGCCTGTAATAATGTTTTTAATTCCAGTGGTACTGGTGGATTTCTGTGGGAAATTCGAGCATGTCTTTGCGTCATTACGTCACATATGTACACATAAAGAAGGAGTCTGGAGCTGGAGGTGGAGATTTATAGCCTTTTCTCACAGCACTTGATATAATTAAACTTATTAATTTGATGGTGGATCCAGAAAGGTTCAAACGACAATCACCAGTGACAACTAGAGATTCACCCGATGTAAAATGCAAAAGACTTTGGACTGAGAGTTTGGAAAAAGAGACTGCAACCGGGCCCATGCGAAAACAAGGATAAATATCTGAAGGGCTTTAAATGTAGACACGAAATGCTGATGTTGTAAAAATTAAAGGTACAAGGATATAATTAAGGTATGGTGGTAGGGTAATAATAAAGGTACGGTACGGTACACGGATAAATATCTGAAGGGCTTTAAATGTTGTCACGCAATGCTGATGTTGTAAACATTAAAGGTACAAGGATATAATAAAGGTACGGTGGTACGGTAATAATAAAGGTACGGTACGGTACAAGGATAAATATCTGAAGGGCTTTAAATGTAGTCACGCAATGCTGATGTTGTTAACATTAAAGGGATAGTTCACCCCAAAATGAAAATTCTGTCAGTAATTACTCACCCTCATGTTGTTCCAACCCCGTAAGACTTTCGTTCATCTTCGGAACACGCATCACACACATGACCAGCGTTGGCCAATAGTGAGCCTAAGTGTGACGTACAATACAGAAGCGCTGCGCAGTTACACAGTACGTGAACTCACTCGAGGCCCACAGAGAAGGAAATGTCGTTATAAAGTCGTTATTTTTGTTTGTTTTTTGCACACAAAAAGTATTCTCGTCGCTTGATAAACTTAAGATTGAGCCACTGTAGTCACTTGGACTATTTTAACGATGTCTTTAACAACTTTTCTGGGCCGGCAAGTCTCAATCCCTTAGAAGCCTATGGAGGAGTGATCCAGCTCTCAGATTTAATAAAAAATATCTTAATTTGTGTTCCGAAGATGAACGAAAGTCTTACGGGGTTGAACAACATGAGGGTGAGTAATTACTGACAGAATTTTCATTTTGGGGTGAACTAACCCTTTAACAATTTGAGAACAAAGTATAATTTGCACGGTTGGACGTGATATGATAATCGATCGTTAGATTTAATCAGCGTGATTTATATGGAGCTCGAAATGTGGTTTTATTACATGCGAGAAAATAAATGATCTGAGAGAAAAAAAAAGTTTGAGAGAAAAAGTTATCACACTGATAGCAAAAAAGCATTTCATGAGAGAAAAAATAATATTTGAGAGAAAAAGTTTTCATATCAATAGCAAAAAATAATATTTGAGACTAAAAAAAGTTTTGAGAGAAAGTATTTTCTCATAGAACATAAAAAAATATAAATTTGACATTTTTTAAATTATTTCTGAGAAAAAAAATCTCTCTCAAAATACTTTGAAAAAAAATCTTAAATATATTTTTTTGCTATCAGTGTGAAAACATTTTCTCAAAAAAAAAGTGTTTCTCTCAAACCGCTTTTCTTTGCTCTCAATGCAATTTTTTGCTCTCGCGTCAGGATTTTGCTTTCGCTGTGAAAATTGTGTCATGGGCGGGGCCACGTTCTTTTTTTCCTATTGGAACGTTCCTATTGGCCAGTCGGGTGAGCATCGTCTTGTCTTGGGAGTCGAACTGAATCATTACACCATTGTTCGGTTCACCTAGATAGATGCCTCCTCTGCCTTTAGATTCTCTGCCCGAGCCCGAGCCCGATGTCGGGCCGATATTTCCCGTCACAATTCTCGGGCCGGGCCGGGCCCTTGATCTAGAGACGTGCACCCCCAACGCAAAAGAGTGCGGCGCGGGACTAGATTATTTGATGGCTGAGTGCGAGCGCGGGCGCGGGCTGTAATGCACTCACTCTATGTGTGAGGGTTCAGGGAGAATAAAACAATTCGTGGGAGTTTAGGACTCCCTCAAACTAGAAATATCTATGAATAAAACATATAAAAACGAATACATTTTTATTCATCTGTTGCAGAAAAGCAACAAGAACAACTAAAACAAAATACAAATGATTTACAGGCCAGAGTTTCGTTTTATAACATGTTGCAGCGTTGAGCGAATGTAGCCAATCACAGACATATGTGTTGATTTCTTGAACGCAATGGCCAATCAGAAGCATTTAAGATATAGGCTACTCCCCTCACCGCTCAAAACGAACTTTTTGTTCAGAGCTGAATTCTGTATGCTGGCAAATCCTCTAATTATAACAAACAAAGTGTTTATATTATAAATGTTTTTAATTATATATTATGAAAGATTCATTGTGCAGTCAGCTTCATTGATAATAACAGAGATGTGTAAGATCGCGATGAACTGATATGTCAGCTTTAGGAATTTTTAAAGTAGCGCACTTTGCGCGCATTCAGTCATGCCAAACCATGCACGCAGTAGCCTGCTTGATTTTATGTTATAACAGTGGTTTGTGTGTTAATGCTTTAATAACAAATAATTTATCAGGAGCATTTATGCTGATGTGTATGATGGCGACACGTAGGCTAACTTGAAAGTATTTGGAGATGCAGAACAGAGGAGGAGGAGGAGAAAGTAACATGGAAAGTAGTTGAGAACGTCAGTTATAACGACCCACGTATTAAAATGGTCAGGTTTAAATCGGGCTCGGCCTCATAATTATAGTTAATGTGTCGGGCCGGGCTCGGACACAACGTGCACGGGCTCGGGTAGGGTCGGGCTTTAATTTTTGGGCCCGATCTAAGCTCTAAGTTGAGCACGGACACTCCAATGTTGGGGTAAGATGATGACACAACTGGATGTTAGCTGGCTAAGCAAGTTCAGCATCACTGAAGATTAAACATTAAAAATAGCACTCATATTCATGAATGAATGTGTATTATATTATTAGCTTGCTAATCGCTAGTAAAGCTAATTATTAATTAGCCATCATGCTAGGTAAACTTGCATGAGTGCTATTTTTTAATGTTTAATCTTCAGTGATGCTGAACTTGCTCAGCCAGCTACCCATCGAGTTGTGTGTGTCATCAACTTACCCAAACATTGGAGTGTCCATGCTCAACTAAGACAGAGGCGGAACGATGAATGATTCATCGTTCTATCTGAGGTGAACCGAACGCGAACAATGATGTAATGATTCAGTTCGACAGTCGACTCCCAAGACAAGACGATGCTCACCCGACTGGCCAATAGGAACGTTCCAATAGGAAAAAAAGAACGTGGCCCCGCCCATGACACAATTTTCA